AAGTGTAAGTGAGATTTGCAATTAATATAAAAGGCTACAATCCCTTTAAACTCTGAAGGTGACTTTCTTGTTATATTTGCACTGCATGTTATAGCAGGCTCTGTGTCAGAGGCAATGGAGGGAAAATTCTGGAACAGACCAGACTTTCAACTGCTTTCCAGAGTGAGAAATTTTAATCTCTGTTAAGCTGTAGTTAAAGTATTGAGCTCTGAGAGGAGTTCATTTCCCTGGGTACCTTTGGGAGAGGTTCAGCTGTTGATACCCTGAAGTTCATGCATCAGTTTGTTCTTCCATCAACCAGTGCTCTAACGAGAATAAATAGGAAGAGGTAATATTGGGTGAAGTAACGGGGCAGAATGAAAACATCCATAGTCTGCCTGATTTAGCCTCCTCAGCTGGAGAGATGCTAGTTCTCACGCTGTCCTCGTTGTGGTGTGTGTTCAGGAAAGATGCTGCTGCTGAGGCAATAGTCTCTTCCTCTTGTCTTGAGACCTGTGGTGTATGTTGTGATGAGTGCTTTTGGATAAGAGCCCTGAAAGTGTCTGCCTGAACATAGCATGACACATGAGTTTTCAAAGGCATGAATCCGAAGCTTTTATTTAAGCCTCTAAGTGGGATTTGTTTGATTTCACCATATGTGTATGAAATAACTCTTACTGTTCTTCTTTGCTTGTGCTTTTTCAGGAATTAGAAAGGCAGTTGGTCAAGGGTGTTCAGCTTTTTCCCCCCCAAGTGTTTTTCTAGGGTAAGCCTTTCTAGGCCATTTTTGTGGCACTGGGAAGTTCTTCTGAACCTTGGCCAAAAGGAGTGTCCCAAATTATCAGAATGAATAAATAAATCTCTTGCTTCAAGCAATTAAGAGAAGTGCCAGGTTCACTATGAACAATACTGATGTAGTGACAGCTTTTATTTTTTGGTAAACATTTGAAGCTGGCAGCAGGAGACGCAGTCAGGATTGCTTTTTGTCTGTTCTGTACAAACATAAAGGATGAAGTCACTGCCTTCTGGGCCTTCAGTCCAGGAAAAACAGGAAGCATGAGGGTGAAAACTGAGTACTGTGCACAGCTATGCTTTGCAGTAGGTAGTCAATTGAAATCAAGTTCTGACTTTGTCCTGATGTTCAGTGTTATATAAGTTCAAATTCGTGTTCCCTGTTTAGATTTTTGTGCAGAAGTTCAGTAGGCTTTTTGGGGGAGTGGGGAGCATCTGGGCTCTATCTCTGGGTAACTTTTACCACAGGATTTCACTTCCTCCAAATAGTCCAGGACGGACAGTTATCTTTGGAGAGCTTGTTCTGTGCGTGTCTAGACAGTTTCAGACTTGGACCAGAGGGTTTGGGGGGGACAGCCTTGTGGGTCTGAAAGGGATGTGAATCTGAAAGCTTATCCAAGAAGAAACCTGAGAGCCTACCTTTTCCTACTGTGGTAGCTTCTCTTCTATAACTGCTGAGCATCAGTTTCTCTTTCTGGATATTGCTTTGATTTCCTCTTTTGACCTCTTACCACTAGTCTCTATGTTTGAACAGCAGTTGCCCGTGGTCGCGCACTTCTAATTCTTCAGCAACCTCTGAAAAGACTGAATTTGAAAGAGCGCCATTCTCCTATTGCCCTTATTGGAAGTAGTTAAGACTGCTGGTTGTGGGCAGCAGTGAAGCTGCCTGTTTGCCCTGAATACTGCGCAGCTGGTTTGCTATGTAAGCTTCTCTGTCCTCAAAGCTCTTCGCTATGAATTTTGTTTAGCGCAGATCAGCTATGACTTGCGGCATAGGCCTCCTTTTCTAAGTGACATGCAGTTCTGATATCAGATCTTCCCAGTCCTTTGCAGTTCTTGACATGTCTCCAGAAATTTTTTTCTGGAGGTGATAAAAATGTAGGCTATTTTGGGCCCCTTCCCCCTTTCTGTATGTAGGTATGTTTTTGTGTGTCACTTAGAACCACAGCCTTCTGCACTCACTTCTTGTATTTTATTCACAATGGAGTTTAAATGACTAGGCTTGTTATGACTGCCGAACCGAAGCCTTTTTCTTGGCCATGTTGGCTTTTTCAATTCTAGGAAAGCTTCTGTGTCTAAGAATTAATAACGTGTGCTTCTGTTTTTCCATAATCTTAAGTGTTCATTCTAAAGTATTTTTGCTGACTTAATCTAAAGTTTGGCAGGTCTGATTCTGCCCATCGCTGGGACAGGACTTGGCTTACTTGGCCTGCCCCACAAAGAGTAAAAATGAAATTAAGGTCCCGTAAGTCTGGATATACTGCAAAGACTCATTAACTCATTTAGCTTTTCTTAGGCCTCCCTTAATGGCTGGAAATTATAAATCAGTAGTCTAATTTTTCAGAGTTTAATTAGAATGAACATGAACTGATTTAAGGTGTTTTTAGACTAAACCTGAACCATGAAACATGCAAACTAAGCTTCTGACAAAGTCGCACTGTGGGCAGGAATAAGTCATTTGATCCTGATAGTAAAAGAAGACTCTTCCTAAATTGAGCATCTTGAAATTCAGTTAACTGGTTTGGCTGAATATCAAGTAACCAATTAGGCAGTTGGTCAGCTTCTTCCTCCTGTGAGAAGTTTCTTGCCTTTGGAAACAGCAAGACATAAGCAGGGGTTGGAGATGCTTTTTGCACGCCTTTGCCTTGATCTGCTCTTCCCCTTTGTTTGGGGGTCTTCAACTCTTAGCCCTTGGTTTTCTGTTGCTGAAACACCCTGCTTTGATAGCCTCTTTGTTATGTTAAACAGTGATACTTTTCTTTTTACCCTCCTGCCCCTTTCTGTAGTCTGACATCAGGGATTAGAAGCACACTGTAACACCCTTACCTAGGCTTAGAATTTGCTTCTAGCTGGTAAGTTTACAGTACGTTTACATTGCTTGCCTTCATGTAACTAGAAAGAAGTATTAGCAACAGTAGATGAAGTTCCAGATCTCATACTTCTGGCTTCATGCACTAGTTAATAAAAGCTGGCAAATAAGTATCTGCTCTTGCGCCTATAAAAAGGTCTCCTGTTTATGTGATGGCAACAACTGTCAATTATTTTTCAGTCTTCTACTTTGGCTGTGAGCCAGTACGTTGTAGAATAACTTATCTCCTTTCTAAAATTTTGGAACTTGGAAGTGTGTTTTTCTTACTCTTTTAGAATGGAATTTATGGAAGTGGGGGAACTAATGGTATTTGGCTGCTAGAGCTGAGTACAGCCAGGACACATGCTGCCTAAGTGTCACTTAGGTTTACCACTACTCTTGAAGCTGTAGCACCACCTGCTATTCTTGCTGTAGGTTTCGCAAGTGCAAATTATCTGTTGTGGTGTAGTGGTTTGTAAATTATCTGTGGCAGTCTAGTTTAATGGTTTAAAACTTGTACTATCTGTGCCTAAAATTAAATATAAACTGAGAACCTCACTCCAGAGTAGAGAGATTAGGATATAAATACAGTGTCATCTTGTTCCAAGGAAAAAGTCATGTTAAAAATAGATGTGGACCCAACAGTCTTTGTTGAAAAAGTAAATTAAAATAGTGGATTATCTGATGCAGAGGCCATGGATATTTGAAACTGGTCAATAGTAGGGTTTTTAGTGGTAGGATTTTTGTTTTATGTTTAAACAAAACATTCTATCACTTTAAGGATCAGACTTAAGATCTCAAGGGAGTGAGGTTTTGGGTAGTGGGTTTGCCAAACGTTCTTGGGGATATGTCATAGCAGCAGTACTAATAACTTTGGATTTGGGCAACTTGACATTCCCATATAAATTCATGAGGACAAAAATTTGCCTGACCTTTAAAAAAAATGTGTTGTGCTTAAACTTTAAGTTACCAAGTTTGCCAGCTTGATAACAACTGCTGGTCAAGGACCTTAGTGCTAGCTGTCTGTGGTGTTCAATGTGAGTTAAGGTGAATCAGGTGGACTTTCAGTTCTGAATCTATTCATTAGACTGGTGAATTTGAGTGAGCCAGATATACATTGAAGTTGGGTTTTGCCTGCCTGCAATAAAAAGGCACAGAGAAGAGCCCGCTAGTGAAGTCCGGGCTTAAAGAGCTCTTACCTAGAACAGTGTATGTGTTAAGGGTTTTGCAAAGCTGTGTATAGGCTATGTGGGTATTTGGATGGGACGCTTCCACTGAATGAGAGTGGGAATTAGAGTTGGTAAGCTGATAAGATGATGCTCTTGCTTAGGATAAATAGTAATCATTGAATTTGTGGCCTCACTTGCTTGAGATGAGTCAAGGCAAGTTACTGACTGACTGCAAAGTAATTACAAAAACCTGTAAAATATTGTGTGACCCACAGAATGGGAAGGGAGTGTTGCCTGGGGAGAGGGGAAGAAAGTCCCCTTCTCTGCCTTGCAGTGGCAGCCCTCAGTTAAGATTGACTTGAGCCTATGGTGTAATCCAAGGCATTTGTTCAAAGGTGTGAGACTTACCATGTGATGTTTATTTGGTGCCAGGAGCAAATCTCTTCATGGTCATAAAAGTTTTTGTCTGTCTGAGAACTTTTGACTTGAAATTGGCAGTTGGCATGGTTAAATGTTAGTGAGAGAAATACTGTTCCCTTTTCATAGTGGATTTTGACAACAAGAAGACTAATTTCTTAGTAAAGCATTATTTTTTTTTTTTTGAATGAGACAGTGATCACTGTCTCATTCATGGTTGTTGTTTTGTTTATTTTCCTAACCATGTTCAGTGTTTGTAAACCAGTTACAAATAATTGCAAGGAAGGTGTTAGAGAAGCTTAAATGTATTACTTTGAAACATGTGGATGTTTTTATGATTGTCAAAGTACATCAAGTTCTTGCTTTGTATAGTTTCACAATTACAGGCTTTGTCTTGAATGTAGCTTGGGCCCATCTATGTTAATCTAAGCATATAAACTTCCTGCAGCATGATTTTTGAGGCATGTAGTATGCTATTTAAGATAGTTAAGGTTTCTCTCTGAAAAGATCTTAATTTGTCCTGGTGGTGATGCAATGCATGCTGGTTTAGATTTCTGCTATTCTCTTATCCACAGCAATTGGAGCAGATCCAGAAGGAGCTAAGTGTGCTGGAAGAGGATATTAAGCGAGTAGAGGTGAGGTGCCCAGATGTTGTTCCAACTCTGGCAAATTTTCATTTCCATCAAGCTGTCTGCCTTGCTGTGGGGCTGCTGTGTTAAATTTATGGGATTTGCTTTGGTAATGGGAAAATGAACAGGTGATGGTCTGTCTTTAATTTGTTCATTTAGTTGATATGTGCAAGCTGCAGGCTGGTAAAAGCTAGGTTTCAATGAAGCCCTCTCTTAAATAATCATATTTTTCAATTTCTTTATGTTGGTAGCAGTATTTTAGTATAATTGCTTGAAATCAACAGCCAGTATATTGATCATAACTTACAATTTTTGTGTGTTGCATTACTCTTCAACCATTTGCACAGCCTGTTTAAGACTTAGCCATGTTCCACTCTTAAAATGGAGGTGTATCGGGGTGCACAAGAGACCTGTAAGGCTAGGAACAGAACTGACTGGTGCCGTATATCAAAACGGAAATGATCGACTACCTCCTGATGCCACTCTGATCTCTTAGTGATAGGGATTTCTTCAGATTTTTTGCTAAGAATTATTCTCCAAGTATTTGTAAACCCATCAGCTCAATCCTTCTGTCCTTATTCAGTCTTGGATTCCTCCTTGGTCTTTCCCTCTACTCATTCTTGCGTTCTGGCTCTGAAGTAAAACTGTTTCAGAACTGCGTCAGATTCTGCCACCTTTCAAAACAATTTTCTTCAAGCTCCTTGGGAATCGGCTTGCGTGTCTGCTGCTCTCCTTCCGCTTGTCTCCAGTAGACAGCACCAGCTCCCAGCTATTGCTCACAAATGTAACTTCTAGATTTCTTCATTTACTTCCAATTTGTATGTGTGCTAATGCATTATCCAAACAAAAATTGGACTGACAACTGCAGGAACTTCCCTTCAGCTGGTAGCTACACAAATTGTTACTTGGTGGAGAAAAGCATGTTTTACACTGACTTTACTGAATTATTCTCAGCTTCTTGGGAAATAATATACCTTAACATGTTTCCTTGAGACTGGTAAAATAGGGCTGCTTCAGATCTAGGAGAAGCTATTCCCAAAGCTGTGAGATCCTTTGGAGAATACCTAGCTACTTGCTTTTCTGCTCTTCAATTGGGCAGTACTGCTGACTAACTGGGTTAGGTACCTAGTGTGTGACAGTGACCTTTGTTTTGACCTGCAGAGCCTGGGATCTGTCTTGTTACAAATACCTTACTTTCTACCTAACAGCTAATAGGCCCCTAGTGGGAATTTAAAAGCACTGGTAATGTTGTCCTGGAACATCTTGCCCCCCTGACTAATGAGCTGCAGCATCCTGTGTAGCTTCAATTTCTAAAATAGATTTAAAGAGATAATCTCGTACTGGGCACACTGCAGTGATTTAATCTGAAAATGGCAAAGCCAAGTTTGCTAACTGCAAAATTTCTGTTTCTTGTGCACTTGCCCTGCAGAAGACTGATAGATCCCCTTTTAAGTCTAGGGCATGAAACTCTTCACTCTGTTTTCTTGTGGCTTTGTATTTTTGCCTTGACCTGTATCCCACATTCCTTTACAACTGCAAAGGCTGTTAGATAAAAGTTAGCATGTATCTCAGAAATGTGGTTACAGCTTGCTTGTTCTGCCATGTTTGAGGGAAGAGTTCAAATTCCTGATGCTAGTTTAGAGACAATTGGATGTTAAATAAATCTATTAGTTTTCAGAATATAAGCTCCAGAACTGTCTCTTTTGGGGCAAAAGCACTGATCGCAGGATTTCAGAAACCCAGTTGGAATTAGAATTTAAAAAAAAAAAAATCAGGTGGTGAAAAGACTTCTAGGTAGGAGTTGAATAAATGTAGACAGACTTGGTTATGTAACTGAAAAAAAAATACAATGTAAATACTGTTGTTAAAAGGTACCTACTGTTTATGTCTTGTCAGATTTGTTCTACCTTGGCTTTCTGTTTCAGGAAATGAGTGGCTTGTACTCCCCAGTCAGTGAGGATAGTACGGTGCCCCAGTTTGAAGCTCCCTCACCTTCACACAGGTACGGAGCTTGCAATTGCTTAGAACTTGGCTTTCAGACTGTATGTATTGCACTATACTTTTGGGTCCATGCCATGCACAAAACACAAGCAGAACTAATTTTTGAATACACACAATATTTGCATGTTTTCTGTTTCTCAGCTGGTGTGAATATTAGTATGAATGAATTGAGTAAAAAAAAAAAAACACAACTGAGTGTACAGCTGAATAAAAAGTTTACTCTAAACTAGATGCTGTGGAAAGCAGATGGTTTTAATGTAGTGTGGATTAGTTAACTTGGATAATTAGCCTTTGCTGTAGTGTGACTATTACCACTGTACATACGTGCCGTTTTCTGAACGTTACACAATTATGCTTGGCCTAAGAGAAGTCTGATTTTTGTATTATGTTGATGTCCTCTGGCTTTTCCACAAGGTATGAATGGTTAAAAGTATGGGTTCATAGTATCAGATTTTCAGCTGTACGCTCTACTGGCTCTGTTTATCTACTGTCTGCTTTGATTTAATGAAATGTCATTCTATTAATGTATTGTAAAAGTGGAATTTTGTCTGGAATACTATGTAGTCTGGTTTATTGATGATAAAATTGCAGATACTTCTTGCATCCAAGTTTCATGTGCCAGAGTTTGCAGTGTTCTACTTCTTTGTTGCCATGTTTTTCAGTTGTGAGCGAGCTCTGATTTCTCAGGGCCAAGTTATAATATTAAATGATCTTTTCTTTCAGCTGTCCCTAGTGTATTTTCCTAACAGCAGAGTTCTCTAAACTGTTGATTTCTGTTACAAAAATTGTATTGGTACCTTTTCTGCAATTAGCAGCCCTAAACAGAGTAGCTTAGAAGTCAGAAAAATGATTAAACTTCCTTCCTTGGAGAGATTTAGATACAGTGCTTTGGTAAGAAGCCTAGCAATATGTGCTGGGAATTTTTATGAAGATCCAGTTTTTGGACACTGAGACCAGAATCTCTCCTACTCCTCCTAAGTTCTGGGTGGCCTTAGGGAAAGGGCAGGAGTATATGGCCAAGATGGGAATAGTGTTTGTTGTTCTGCCCTTTATTGCTTGTCCAATTTGGAGGTGCACATGTGTCTTCTAAGCAGCTTATCGCTGTTCCTCCAAGCAGTGGTTTTGTGAAGCTCATAGGATCCTTGTCAGGTTCTGCTAGTTTTCTGGTTATTGCCTGTTAAAGGGATTGCTTGTTGTTTGTTTCATGTTACTGCTGCTTGGGGAAAACTGAGCTGTGGTTGGGCTGGATTTGTGCTCCGATGCAGCATTCGCACTTTAACCACCATCTTCGTTGCCTTCAGACCTAGAAATTTTTTGTAATTCTGCATGAGTAGAAACGTGTCTTTTACTTGAGGCGAGTTAACGAATGAACTCTCAAGAACTCTTTTTAACTTACGAAACTTGGAATAACTTTTAAGCCCAAGAGTTTTGGTGAGTGTCAGAATCTGCTGCATCTAACCTATGCTGGCTTTGACCTGCTAAAAATTCTTTTGTGTTGCTTTGCCTGTTCTTTTCATGTCCTAGGGTCATTCATTCTCAATTTTTGCTTTTGAAAATATTAAATAGTGTCCCAGTTACTGTAGTGACTCTCAGTTGATGTGCTTTAGCTGACATCTGGTAGGTGACGGTTGTGGGTTATACTGTGGCAGGTGCCTTCAGAGACCAGGGAGTCTCTTCCTGACCTGATCCTCTTACTCTTGTCGAGTTCAATCTAGACCATGAAATTTTTGTTTTCCTTTCTCTTGTATGATGTAACACCAAGAACGTGATATAAGAGAAATTTTATGATTTTTTTTTTTAGAGTATGTAGAGTTGCCTTTTCTCTCGGCTGGAAGACCCTCTTTTTTTATTCCTTAATGATATTGCTGCAGTAAGAAGTGGTCCTACATTCCTTTAGTCAAAGGAAAAGCAGTATGTGAAGGAAGTCTGTGAACAGGCCTCGCTTGTTGCTTGACTTTAGCCTCTATCTTATACTGATCTTACTGAAGATGTGGTGTTTTTTGTACCAAAAGACTTGGATTATTTGGACTCAGATTCCAGTAACTTGTATTTCATGAAATTCATTTTCTTGTCTACATTAAACATATGTTCTGGAGGATGTCTCACACTGTAACTTTGATTTCCCCCTTGGAAAGAATGCTACAGAAGAATTGACATGAGCTTTGAAATCAGCTGACTTTTCCATTTGTACGTTAACTGAAATACTTAATCTTCAAAGTGCCTTTTAGAGATTCTGTGAACTAGTAAGAATGGAATATGAATATACTTGGAGATAACATTTTAACATGGAAATGAAGTTATTAAAATTGCAGAGACTTTTAAACTTCTCACTGAATTAAAATGGTATATTTAAACTGTTAACATGCTTAATGCTCTGCTAATGAATTATAATCATAAAATTTTACTGAAGTGTTTCGCAGACATTACAATGCTATCATAGTCTCATGCTGAGATGGGACAAAAATCGTCTGTGGTTTTTTTTTTTTTTTTTTTAAGTTCAAGAAGATAGAGTACTCTGGAATTTGCAGCTTTATCTGGTCTCTAGTGACTTAGCCTTATTCATCTACTTCCTCTAAATTAAAGACTTGCTTCATGGATTCTCTGCTTTTTCTCATTGTGTTTTTTCCCCAGCATAAACATCTTCAAAAAGTGAAATTGCTGGGTGCTTTTCTTTCCCCCATCTTCCTTCATAAGCTCTTTAGCGAAAAAACAAATAGGGTTATCATATTCAATCCATAGAGGAAACAAGTATTTTCTTTTGTGCTTGTACACTGCGTGATGAAATATTAAATTGGGTGATAGTACAACACTTGTTTGCAGGATTACAGGCTGCTGGGCTTGTGTACTAAATAGAGAACAAGAAGGGAAGAATACGGAAGAGAATAAATAGTTCTGTTTAGGGTTTTTCTGAACAGCCTCGTGCTATTTTTGCTCTCAATAAATGGCGCAAATGGTGCAAACAGGAGATACAAGTAAGCATTGCTGTGACTAGTTATCCAGGTAGTAATAACAATAACAAACTGCCATCTTAATAGGGGTTCCCGGGGAGAGATTCTGATTTAAAAATTATTGCCTGGTAACTCTAGGGGTTTGATAACCGAATCAATCTCCTTCCCTTCTAACCCCCTCACCTCATCCCCCAACCTGGTAACAATATAACAAATGCCATTTTTAGTCCACAGGTTGCTGCTTTTTTTTTTTCTTTGTTCTAGGCTTTTTTTTTTTTTAAGTAATCCATATTAGTGTAGGTGAATTTCCTAATTGCAGCTACTGTTAAAGCTTAATGAAAAGAATACAGAGGAAACTTCTTGTAATTTTCTGATTGTTTGCTTCGTGTTTTTTAAAAAGGAAAACATTCAAGCCTATGCTGTTTAAGCTACAGGCACAGCACAAATGACTTTCAATTTGTATTCTGGTTAGGGAAATGACGTCTGCACTTTTGAAAGCTTTACATCACCAGAGACAACCTGCAGCAAGACGAGACTAGACGCTATAAGTCTGTGTGTTCTGCTGTTAATTGCCACTGTACCTGTCTCTAGTAATGGAGTACTTTTTCATTGCTTTCCAGCTGCACATCT